AGATGCTCAAAATGTTATATATCTTGATCTTTGTGGTACATCAAGCTATACAATTGAGAATTGTATATCTTGCTGTCTATAAGTAATTCCAATTTAAAAAAATATATAAATTTACATATCTATGTATGTATCCATGTGTATGTATGTCTATGTATATATGTATACACACACAACTGTAGTAAGTGTACAGGAAACAAAATGGGAAAATAATAGAGAATAATGGGAGGAGCAATGTATCCTTAAAGTGGGTGGCTAGAAAAGAACCTTGTAAGGAAGTGGTTTTAAGCTGAGATCTAAAGCAATAATGTATTTTCCAGAGCCTGGCTTCAAGGCAAAAGCAACCACAAGTGCAAAGGTCCTGAGGCAAGCAAGAGCCAGAAATATTAGAGGCCCTGATGGCAGGCCAAAGGGGCTGGAGTAAGTGCAAGGATAAATACAGGTTGAGCTGCAGTCAATGGCCAGATGATGCTGGATTTAGAAGCCATGGTAAGGAGTTCAGACTTGTTTAAAGAGCCATGAAGAACCATGGAAGAGTTGTAAGCAGGGGAGAAGTAGGATTCAATTTATGTTTTTATAAATTGTTCTAGTTTAAGAATTGAAAGAAGTCATGGGAAGAAGCAAGATCAGTTAGAAGGTAATTGCTGTCATTTCTAGATCATAGAACAGCCACATCATACAACTCAGAGCGGTAGGGGTTGGAGATGGAAGTGGGGAAATTTTACATGAAATACAATGGGAATGGGGCCATTAGGAATTGAGCAAGGTTTGGTTTCATCAAGCAATCACTACTGACAATTTAGGAGAGAAGTAGATAAGTGCCAATTATGTTTTGGAGGTGGCATGGACAGGATTTGCTGATTCTCTGGATATGTGAACTGGGAGAGGCAACCTTCTGAAGTGACTCACAACAATCCTGCCTGTTGAGATTCAAGCCCCAGTGTAATCATCTCCCCTTGAATGTGGGCTGGATTTAATAACTTCCTCTAATAAGTAGAACACAGCAAAGTGATGGGATGTCACTTCTGAAAATAGGTTATAAAAGACTGTTAGGTCCACCTTGCTGGCATTCTCCCCCAGGCTCTTCTTATGTACTTACTCTGATAGAGACAGCACCTGGCAAAGAACTGAAACCTGCCTCTGGCCAACAGCCTTTGAGCAACAGAGACTCTCAGTTCCAATGACCTGAAAGAATCCAGATCCTGCCAACAACCATGTGAGTGAATTTAGAGGCGGCTTTCCCCAGGGGAGCCTTCAGATGACACCACACTCCTGGGCCAACACTTTGGTTGCAGCTTTGTGAGAATCTGTGAAAAACAGAGCACAGCTAAACTGTTGTATTCTTGACCCACAGTAATTATAAGATTGTCTATGTGCTACCTTAAGTGACCAAATTTTGGGTTAGTATGTTACGCAGCAACAGGTAACTAATATAGAAGGTGAGGAAGACAGAGAAACTAAGGACTTAAACTTAATTTTTGGCTTAAGTAACTGATTATCTACACATGTTAAAATTCCAGGGGCACAAATAGATTTATGCGGTAAGGGGGCAAATAAACAAGCATTTGGTGTATCAGACATCAAGGGAGAAACTGGGTGAGCTGTAGATATGCTATCTGGAACCCTCTTCCATGACATTAGATGTTGTACTTTTCTACCAATCAGAGGCAGTAAAATCCAAAAGTTGGGTTTGGATTGAAGGAAGGAGGTAAATCAGGCCTTCCCTATTGCTTTAGCAGGGTTTAAGAAAACAAAGTATTTTGTTTGGTCAAGTCTAGTTCCAAGTTCTACTTTTGTGTTTGAGACCAAAACCCCAGCTACTAAGGAAGTGTCACTTTGTCTTATTTGATTCTTATAAATGTCAACTTGAAGAAGAAGGTGGTAGCAAAACAGATCTAGGCATTCTTACTTCACTGGGCCATATACCAACATACTAGTGACTATTTCTAAACCAGAAAGGCCTAATCCTCAGGACTTAGCCCAGTGTTTCTCAACAGGGACCCCATGCTGGCATCTGGCCCAGGACAGTTTTTTTATACTAGAGTGTCCTGAGCATTGTAGAAGGCTTAGCACATGCCAGTAGAATGTGCCAGTCATTGCGACAACCCAAAACATTTTTCCACAAGTCCAAAAGCATCCTGGGAAGGTACCTCACCCTCATTAAGAACCAATGGATTGTCTAAGCTTATACTCTGCCATTTCCTAGATGCCTGCTGGGTGGCAGTCCCAGGTGTTTAAATATTCTCCTTTGTAGAACTTTAAATACAATGAATTCTCAAAGAATTAAAATATAATGCTAATATGAGAATAATTCACAATTTAATTTAATTTTAGATGACTTATAAGGCAACATGAATTTGGTAGAAACTCAGAGATACTCTGTTGTTCTGGAGTTCTCTGTTCTATTGCCATGCTAAAAAGAGAGTCACTAGGATACTGGCTGTTGATTCATGATGATTAATAAGATGATGCATCCTTATGCTTCAGATTTGTGACTGGGGATGCTCTAGAGTATCATTTGAGGGATTCTGGAACCTTGATCTGGTGATTGTGGCTGTTAAATTCTAAGAATCCATTCCTCCACTTGGTTGTGAAATTATTACTCTATCGCAAATCTATGTCAGAAAAAAAAAACATTTGCATTTATGTATATAGGATAAGCTACATTTTATTGTACTAACTACCACAGAGTTTTTATCAGGTACCTATAACCAGGCACTGTGCTAGTTTCTTTGAATGCATTATTCAATTCAATGCCTGAAATGTGCCTATGTGGAGAGCAGTATTATCATCCCATTTTGCATTTAGGGAAATGAACGCTCAGGAAAATTGTGCGACTTGCTCAGCATCAGCAAGTAAGCAGCAAAGTCAGATTTCAAACCTAGACCTTTAAAATAACTGTAAATTCTTTAGACGACATGGATCAGAATTGATTTTCTCCAACAGATAGATATCCATCAAGTGTCAGGCCTTGCACTGGGCAAACAGGATAGAGATGTCCCTGCCTGACTGGATGTATGGATAGGTATATTAGTGCTTGGATAGATGGATAGAATTATTTATTTTTATTTTATTTATTTTTTATTTATTTATTTTTAATTTTATTTTTGTTACAGATGTTTCTCCTTTTTTACCCCATTGACACCCTCCTCCCCATCCGCCCCGCCCCATCCCCGGCTTTGTTGTCCATGTCCATTGGTTATGCATACATGCATGTAAGTTCTGTGGTTTATCTCTCCCCATGCCCCATCACCCCCTCTTCTGAGGGTTGTCAGTCTGTATCCTACTTTCGTGTTTCTGGGTCTACCCTATTCCTCAGACTGTTATATTCATTATATTCCATATATAAGTGAGATCATGTGGTATTTGTCTTTTTCTGCTTGGCTTTTTTCACTTAGGATAATACTTTCCAGGTCCCTCCATGTCATCTCAAAGGATAAGAGATCTTTCTTTCTTACAGCTGCATAGTACTCCATTGTGTATATGTACCACTGCATTTTGATCCATTCATCTACTGATAGACACTTGGGCTGTTTTCAGATCTTAGCTATTGTAAATAGTGCTGCTTTGAACATGGGGGTACATATATTCTTTCTGATTGGTGTTTCAGGCTTTTTAGGGTATATTCCTAAGTGGGATCACTGGGTCAAATGGAAGTTCAATTTTTAATTTTTTGAGGTAACACCACATTGTTTTCCATAGTGGCTGCACCAGTCTGCATTCCCACCAGCAGTGTACTAGAGTCCCCTTTTCTCCACACCCTCGCCAACACTTGCTGTTTGATGATTTGTTGATGGTGGCCATTCTGACAGGTGTGAGGTGATACCTCATTGTTGTTTTAATTTGCATCTCTCTGATGATTAGTGATGTTGAGCATTTCTTCATATGTCTCTTGGCCATTTGTATGTCCTGTTGTCTTCCTTTTGTTGAGTTATATGAGTACTTTGGAAGTTAACCCCTTATCTGATGTATCATTGGCAATGATGTTCTCCCATACAGTGGGTTGCCTTTCCATTTTTATGGTTGTTTCTTTTGCTGTGCAGAAGTTTTTTAGTTTGATGTAGTCCCACGTGTTCATTTTTTCCTTTGTTTCTGTTGCCTTAGGTGATGTATCAGTGAAAATTCTGCTGCGTATGTCCGCAATTTTGTTGCCTACATTTACTTCTAGAATTTTTATGGATTCACGGGTCACATTTAAGTCTTTTAACCATTTTGGGTTTATTTTTGTGTATGGTGTAAGTTGATGGTCTAGTTTTATTTTTTTGCATGTAGCTGTGAAATTTTCCCAACACCATTTATTAAAGGGGCTCTCTTTACTCCACTGTATGCGCTTGCCACCTTTGTCAAATATTAATTGAGCATATTGCCTTGGGTCCATTTCTGGGTTCTCTATTCTGTTCCACTGGTCTATATGCCTGTTCTTGTGCCAGTACCAGGCTGTTTTGATTACAGTCGCTTTGTAGTATAACCTGATATCTGGTATTGTGATCCCACCTATAGATGGATAGAATTAAATAACAGGAAAATGCAAGGATAATTAGGGAAGAGTAGGTGGAAATGAGGGTAAGTGAATGAGGAGGCAATGAGGAAGGGGATGTAATGGAATGGGAGGGAGGAGGGAGGAGGGAGGGAGGGAGGGAGGGAGGAAGGAAGGGTGTCTGAGTGAGTAAATGAGGAAGTGAGAGGTTTTGAGGCCCAGCTACCTGCAACCAGAGCTTGGGAGGCTGGCTGGTGGGCGGAAGGGCAGCTACTCTACACAGTTCGGTAGGCGTGGCCGCTCCTCCTTCAGCCCTGCTCGCACCTCCTCCTCTCCCTCCTCCTCTCCCTCCTCCTCCTCCTCCTCCTCCTCCTCCTCCTCCTCCTCCTCCTCCTCCGTGGTGGCCCGCGCCCGCCTGCTGCCCAGACCCCGGTCCCCGGGCGGGTGGAGGAGGTGCCGCCGCTCGCCGCTGCCCTGTCCCGCCGCCCGCGATGCGCAGAGGGGCCGTGCTGCCCGGCGCCGCGCCATGAAGCTCCGCAGCAAGGCGGCCGTGCTGCTCCTGCTCGCGCTGTCGGCGCTGCTGCTGGCGCTGCTGACCCTGCGCACCGGCCGGGCCGAGCGCCCCGCGCCGGCCACGCAGCGCCTTCCCGCGCCTGCCTCCGCGCGCCCCCGGGGCCGGGGCCGGGGCGCCCTCACCCGGGCGGGCCACGGCGCTCAGAGGCGCGGGCCACAGCATCCGCGCCCGCGAGCCGGCCGCCGGGGCGCGTCCAGCCTGGAAAAGTTGGCGAGGTGAGTCATGGCAGCCCGGAGCTCCGTCCGGGGATCCGTGCCTCGCTTCCTCCACGCGAGCCATGTCCACGGGAGGCTTGGGGCCGGAGGGACAGAGTCCCGAGCTGCCCACTCTACTTCTTAACCTGCTAGAGTGAAGAACCACCTTCGTGGAGCCCACCTGACGGCTCAGCGATGGTAGACACATTTTTCAGAGAAGGGGCAGGGAAAGTGGTTTGTGTATTACGTTTTTTAAACCGTCAAGGCAAGGCTTATTTTTGTGTTCTTGTAAACATGTGCCCTTTGTTTAAATGTTTAAGAGACCTCACGATGCAAGAATGCTTTGTTTTATTTTCATGTTTCATTGGAGACTTTTATCAGCTGCTTAGATTTGACTGAGTTGTAAAAGCTAGAGGTGACCAAAGACTGGCTGCCTGTCCTCGAACCTCGAGTCACTCTGTGCTGAGAGGGAAGAGGCACTGGACCCAAGTTTATTGAAAAGTTTTCTCCTGGAAAGGAGTAATGCGTGGCAGGGGAAGGACACAGTGGGAGTTTCCCTGTTCCTCGGCGCACTTCAGACTTCAGTGGGCATGCGTATGGAGAAAACATCCTAACCTTCGACATTGTGTTTGATAATCCCTTTCTCTATGCAAAGCTTAACACGTCACAGCTTTAGGTCAGAGCGTTTTATCTGTTTTTAGGGCTGCTGGCGGCCCACAGGTTAGGGATCACTTTATTCCCTTTGTTGTGGAGAGCTTTATAACGACCTCTTGTCTGGTGGCCCTGGTGTTTCCCGGGTCCTTTCCAAGATGTAGATGTCTCGAATTACCTTTGCAAGGTCCACACTTGCTGGGCTCCTTAATGGCCTGAAATGAGTTGAAGAATTCCTTTTGACCATGATAACTGAGTTCTGGCGCTTTTACTGTAACTGAGAGAAAAGAAACGAAACTTCAAGAAGTAGCTGTGTCAGCTTCTCTTCTGCCTCAAAAAATGTCCAGATGGGTTCTGACAAACTCATGTTTTTGTGGAGGGAGCCCCAGTGAGCTAAGAATCACTTTTAAGTCTTTAGAACCACTCACAACTCCTCGTGAATGTATATGCTGTTTATAATAAGGATAGCTCTGTTAGGGACTTAACAGGATTTTCATTCCTGTTTACTGAGTTTCTTATAATGGATTATATTTCAGTTCAACTATAAGTTTACCATGATTTGTAAGTTGACAGACAACCTGTAAGATAATAACTGACACTATTTACCATGCTAACTAGGCACAGTGCTGAACAGCAGTACTGAAAATAATTATCGTTAACTCAGTCTATGTATATTAGCTACATCATCTCCACCACCACCCTAGGACAGTGTCACTCGGGGTTGACTTAAAAATGCACTCTCAGCCCTGGCCAGTTTGGCTCAGCAGTTAGAGCATCGGCCCATGGACCAGAGGACCAGAGAGATCCAGGTTCGGTTCATGCTAAGGGCACGTACCGCAGTTGCAGTTTGTCCTCGGCCAGTTGGAGTCATGTGGGTGGCAACCAGTCAGTGTGTCTCTCTCACATCGATGTTTCTCTCTCCCTTCCTCCCTAACTCCCTCCCGCTCTACCTGAAGATAAGTGCAAAAATGTCCTCGGGTGAGGATTATAAAATAAAAAAATAAAAATAAATAAATAAATAAATTAAAAATGCAGGCTTTCAGGCACCTTCCTAGACCCACTGCATCAGAAATCATGGGGGCGAGGTCAGTAATCTGTGTTTTAACAAGCCGTCCCACTGTTTCTGATGCACACCAAAGTTCGAGAGCCTGCTCTGTGAAGTAAGCACTAATACTATTGCCTATTTACAGACAAGGAAAGTAATGCACAGAGTTTAACCTTGTGTCCAGGGTTTGTAGGCAGCATGCAGTGGATACGGATGAAGGCCCAGCAGCGGCCCGGGCCCAGGTGGAGCTCTCACATGCTATGCTGATGTCACACACTCTTGCCTGCACTTCGCAATTCTTCTAACAAAACATTATAGATCTTTGCAACAGTCTCATTCTTCAAGGTGTTGGGGATGTTGGGCCAGCATTTTCTTGGTCTCTATCTGAACAAATTGTCTCTGACTAGGAAGAGATCATGAACAGAATCTAAATGGATGTTTAGAAGAAGGACTCTTTCTATAAGCAACAGTACCTCTGGAAGTCATTTTTCTTTTGAACCTATCTCAGATTATCATGAAAATTGTGGCCAACACCAGAGGAATAAAGAACAAAATATAAAAAGTCAGGGAAGAGTGAAAAATCTCAAGCTCAAATGCATAAACATGAAAGACTAGTGCCCTCTGGAGAAGTTGACATTTTCTGGGACTTATTTTAATGTTTCTTTTACTACCTAGACAGACATGGAGACCGAAGATTCTGTAGCAGGTCAGGAGCAGGAGGCAGGACCTCTGTATGGACTCTTTTACTGCAGTTCTAATCCTGCCTGGGTTACATTTTTGTGGTTTTGGAGGAATTTTATTTTCGGGAGGGAAAAAAAAGCCTCATGTTTTCAGAAAACGAGTGCTTTAATCTCTTAACATGGCAAGAATCCAGAAGAGATGAAGGCTACGGGATCTCATTTCTCAAGCCAGGGGAGTGGCCAGCAGAAGATTGGAGTTGGATCAGACACCGTTTGCCACCTGCTGACCCACCGTGGTGGCTGGGCTGCCTCCCCCAGGGCACTGCTGTCAGGGAAGTTCTGCCACGTCAGCAGAGGGAACATAGCACTCTCCTTCCACATCTTGTTTTAATTTTGGAGAAGTTTCCAGGGACTTGTCTAGTTAGCAAGCAGACCCTACAATTTTATAATTAGTCATTTGTATGCAGTCTTTCCTGTGGTGGCCTTTCCTCTCTGTAAATGTAAAGCCAGGAGGAAGGTCTGAACTTTTAGGTCAAGGGTGGGATCTGAAATCGGATACCACACATAGCAGCCGCTCCAGTGCACAAGAGAAATGAAATCTTTCTATTTTGGTTTATTGGTGATTTATACCTGGCTGACTTCCAAAAAGAATTTGAGATGACTTACAGTAAAAAATGCATATACAATAAAGCCATTGAAATCATTATTAAAAAAATGAAAAGACATAAAGAGAAGGGGGAAATAAGTACCGTTTGTCAAAAACTGAGGCCATTGTTGTTATGAGGATTAAGTGTTCAACTTAGTTCTAAGCTTCCTGGCAGCCATGTCAAAAAGGGAAGCCTGGTGGGCTGCCTCATTTTTACCGAAATATAAGAGGACACGTTTATCAAGAGAGAGGGTTTGTTTCTCACAAAACTGAATTTTAAAAGGAGAATTTAACTTAAGAATAAACTTTACACTTTAGAAGGCCCTCTCTCTAGTTTGCTTCTGAAAACTCCCCTTCGAGCCTATGTATGGGAAAGGAGGCTTACTTCAACTGCTATGTAAAAAAGAATTTGGCATCTACAGTCCAGAGAATTGGGTTCTAATCCCAAGACATTTCATCTTAATTTCCTCATCTGTAAAATGAGTGAACTGATCCAAAGTCTTCTAAGATGTTCCTGCTCTGACAGTTGGTGATTCTGTGATGAGATCATCAAGTTTAGCTGCAAATTCCTGACAAAGACTGTTGTTCACTCCTCTGTGCATCTCTTGCAAAATCAGTTTCTCATTTGTTGGCTCTAGTCTAGAACTCTTGTTGGTTATTCAGCCTCAGCTCTCTTCTGCACTTTATTCTTTTTCTTCTGTGATGGCCTGCATAGTGCTGTTGTCTCTTAAAATATGGTTTCTAAGGGAGACTGAGTCTACTTCTCTGCTCTGTGGTGCTCCTGTGCCATTCATTCCAGTCACTCAGTAAATGTTTATTGCATATATATTCTGGGCCAGGCACTCATTCTACAGTGTTGAGTGGAGTTACTGCCCTCCCAGAATTTTTTTTAGGTGGGCAGAAAAGATAGACCATGTTACACTTTTTACTGCCCCAATGCAAGGAAGCATACATACTTGCTCATTGAGAGACACCATTCCCTACAGTTGCCCTTGGTCTCTGAGGTGTCTTCTCAGAGGGATCTAGCCTGAACAAAGCTCTCACTGAAGAAGAAGAATGTTACAGAGCAAAATGCTAAGTATATGGCCATCCTACAATTATCTGGTCAGCTCAGAACACGTTAAACATCTCTGGAGGTTGGGTACCATCTATGACACTATGTCCTATGAGTATTCATTCTGTTCACATTCATTTTTGTTGATGAGCCCATACGTGCCCCCCACCACCACTATACGTACTCAAGCAGTAGGCCCTGTTAGTTCTATCTCAAAATATGTTACAACTCTCCATTTCTACCACATCCTTGGTACCACCACTTTCCTAACACAATCATTTTGCACCTGGACATCTGCAGAAGCCTTCTACCTGGTTCATGTGTTTTCAGTCTAGCGCCCTCTACAGTCCATTTTCCATGCAGATGCTGTAATAATCTGCTGTAGAGCACCTGGAGTCACTTTCTTGGTTAAAGCCCTGCTGTGACAGACTTCCTGTCGCAATTAAAATAAAATTTAACTTTTTTTTTATCCTCACCTGACGATATTTTTCCATTTATCTTTAGACAGATTAGGAAGGAGGGAGAGGGGGAGAGAGACAGAGAGAGAGAAACATTAATACGAGAGAGACACATCACTGGTTGCTTCCCACCTGACCATGACTGGGGCCAGGGACAAACCGCAACTGAGGTCCATGCCCTTGGCCAGAATTGAACCTGGGTCTCATTGGTCCGCGGGCCAATGCTCTAACCACTGAACAAAACCAACTAGGGCTAAAATAAAATTTAGTTTCTTAGTGTGGCCTTCAAGCTGTTACCTGATCTCAACCCCATTTAATGCTGTGATCTGTTCCAGGTACCCCTGCTTCACTCAAGTACTCCACACTGGCCTTCAAACATTAGGCTCATTCCTACCTCAGCACTTTCTATTGGTCTCCTGTGCTGGAATGTTCTTTGCTCAGATCCTTGCATTGCCAGCTCCCATACTTCTTTCATGTCTGTGTTTTG